GATGATCAGATAAGTCAAAACTAATTGAAAATGGGCTGTGTGGAAGTCTTGTGTCCTTAAAAGTGAGTCTGAGGGACTTTTGTCTCTCATGGCAGTAGATGGGGGTGTATTACATCAACCATTGTATCAGCTACAGGCTACCGTGATAGTGTATTCCTGTCATGTTTACACATGTAGACGGATAGAAGTGACACCCTAATTGAATTCCAAACCGAGATGCAAATGTGGGACTCAGTTATTGTCTTATGATTTTTCTGGACAATATTGGACAATAGAATATTGGGTAACCCTGGCCTGCCTTGCCTTTTATTCTATACTGGATGAAATGCATCACTTTATGTTTTTGATGTCAAGTTTCTTCTAATCACGCTAGCCAGGTATGGCTCTAGGAATACAGCAATATTGATTGGCCATTCGTTTTTGGACAGACATTTGTGAGCCAATGATGAGGACAAATCTACTGATTTGGGCGATCAGTGACGAAATCTAGCACTACCATGAAACTGACATGTGCGCTGTCATGTTGAGGTTGGGTGAGTTTGGTCCGCCGCAGGAGGAATGACTCCTGCGGCGGACCAAACTCACCAAATCATTTTGGTGAGTTTTTCCTCTAGTGTCACCATCAGGTCAAAATTGTCATCTGGCCAATACTTGCGTAAATGGCTAAATTCCTTCAAAACCCATCAGCCTTAGTGTTCAGTGCTGATTAAGAAATGTTAGCATGATAACACGCCAAACTAAGATGTCAAATATGGTTAACATTACCTGCTAAACAGCAGCACATTAACATTGTCACTTTTTAGCATGCTGACATTTAGCTCAAAGCACCAATGTGTCAAAGTGCAGTCTCACATGGATGTAGACTCTGTCTTGTCTGAAGGGGAATTAATGAATTAATATTGTATCAATATATTATCATTATGCTGATACATAAATATCATATGTAGGCAGTTAAGAGCAGCAGTGCGGAAACCTTGGAAGTCTTGAGGCAGTGCAAACGTTGATTTAAGTTGACCCAGAGCAAGTAAAACTGTGGTTGATCTCTCCAGTGAAAATAAAATATTGTGCCACACAATATTATTTTACGATTTGTAATTCTAGTAAAGAACTACCTGAAGTTCTGCAGCATTCTAGACCTGCACCTCACCCACACACACTTTCAAAGTCATATTTTGCCCCTGTGATGAAGCACACCTGAGGACAAGACCTTGTCTTGTTAAAAGAAAAGGTTATGAAACTGTTTTGTCCGGCGTTCCTTTGTATGCTTCCCTGTAGTCTCTGAGGCTGACGGAAAAAGCAGAATTTTTCTTTGGTCTTTGCGTAATGACTCAAAGAGGAAGCTATGATGACAGCTCCTTCCCCTCAGGGGTGTGAAGAGATGTTTCATACTCTCTCTGAGGATGCCTAATAATGTGCTCTGACAGAGCTCTAGACTACCTCGGGATCGTGTGATAGTGATCAGTTGTTGTGTTTTGAGACCAGACAAATTAATTTACACTCCATTCATTCAGCATTGACTCCCGCTCCTCTCTTTCTATTTTTATTATCTCCGCCAGGAGGATCATGTGATTGTGTGTGTGTGTGTGTGTGTGTGTGTGTGTGTGTGT